GAGAGAGAGAGAGAGAGAGAGAGAGAGAGAGGGAGGGAGAGAAAGGGAGAGAGAGAATTCTCTTTCTGTGGCTTCTCCCTTCTTCCTGGGCTCTGGAGAGGCAGACTCCATTCCAGCACCCCTCTGCTCAGCCATGTTGACAGGAGGAGGCTTGGCTGGTAGTTCGCTCCAATTCTTTCCCCCTGACTTGTGAAACTAGAGTGTCTGCAAGGGAGACACTGTGCTGACAAAGCATGACGCAGCCGGTTCTTAAGGCAGCTGCTTTTACAGAACGCTGCAGTCTTCCTTTGGAAGGGACTGGTCTGGACCGTGCTCCACAGCGACTTTCTCATGCAAAGATGACAGAGAACACGTTCAGCTAGGACAGTGCTTGTACAGGGAAAAAGGATGCCTGCAGAAAATGTACTTTTCTCTTTCTAAACATATAATGCATTTTCTCTTGAAATCTGAGCCCCATATTAAACTAATCTTAGTGTCCACTCATGCTTTTAAGAGCTCATCTTTCATGGAACCCTGGAGTATCAAGAACCGTTATGCTTAAATCTAAAAGACAAAAATAATGTCCACCCTAAATTCCTGGACAAGTCTACCCATCACCAGTAATAACTAGTGTCACTGGCCCAGGTCAGTACTTGCTGACTGAATTAAAATGAAAATATCTGTTCTGCCTCACTGTCTTTTGAAAGCTTCAGTTTTGGAGTTGGATTTTTCCTTCTGTTTTGGACTATGTCAAAGTGCTAAGTGTGAATTCAAGAAGGGTTGAGGCTAGGAGCAGAGCCATCCATATTCCCAGGTTGCATTTGATTTCCACACAGTGACATCTGATCCACTCCAAGCCACTTTCCCCCACTCGGTCTGAGTTTGACAATGATGTGAGGAATGGCTGCTCTGCTAGGTCTAGGGGTGGGGCCTTCTACAGAAAGACAGGGCTTTGACATCAAATCCAAGAACTTCCTAGGAGAGGAAATATGGTGAGGGGAGGGAAGAGGATAGAATGACACAGTATAGAGCCAAACATCTAGACAGTGCCCACCACCACTGGCAGAACATTATACCAGGTGTGCTAGAAAGGCCACTCCAAAATTTAGTTTCTATGAATGCAGAAAGGGTGTGGCAAGGGAAGTAGAAGTGGCTTGTGGGGGTAGAAGATCCAAGTTCTGTCCCTTGATCTGTCACTGACTGGCAATGTCATCTCAAACAACTCAACCTGTCATTGTTAATTCACCTGTCTATGCAACAAAGGGGTTGGATTAAAGGACCTTTCCAGTCCTGAATTCTGTGATTGTAAGGGACTACACTGTCTTTAGTTTGGTAAAGGGAACATAAGTGTGCAACACAAAGACACTTTGATCCACATGTTTTCTGTGCTTGTGGTGGGGGAGTGTACAGAGAGAAAATGAGTCACTCTACTTCCTGACCTGGAAAGTTGTTGGTAGGTGGAGTCTATCAGAGTTAATCTATGATGGGCAGTGCTTTTTTCTGTTGATTTTTATGGTTTCTTCTGTCTGTCATTCTTCACAGTGGCTGACCCACACACTCCACTATGCATTTACAACCCTTACAATTCCAGTCATTTAAAAAATGAGCTTTGAATAGAATCTCTTAAATTGTACTTCTAGTCTCTCTCTTGTTTTTTGTTGTTCTGTTTGACCCTTTTCCTTACTTGCTTTTATCTCAGGAAAAGCTCCCTCTCAGGACTTTTAGATACAAAGGGCAGAAACAAAGAAGATGCACGTCCAGGGCATGGAAATATTGACATTGAGCTGATCTCAGGGGAGAGCATCTGAAGCTTTTCTCTTTGTTTATGTGCATGCTCTGTGAATTGACTGTATGAATGGGGTCTTGACGTTCTAGGATTTGCCTTGTTTCAGATACCTACTCATGCTTTGGTCAAAGTGCACTATTTCTGAAGAAGGTAGGGAGCTCAGCTGGGAATGCACAGATATAACCACCTGGAGCACACTTGGAAGCAGAATAACTGCATATGGAATGCTAGTTTAACAGTGTTTTCCCCCTCAGCACTCTGAAGATGTCATCCCATCGTTTTTCTCTATCATTGCCTCTGAGAAATCTGCCGTCAACCTCCCTGTCCTTCCATTGTAAGTAAATCGTACTTTCCCTTTTTAAAAATACTTTTTTCTCTTTGTCTTTGGTATTCTAAAGTTTCTCTATGATGTCACTAAGAATAGTTCTATTTCTATTTATACTATTTAGGACTCAAGTTTCTTCAATCTGAAGATTTATGCCTTTCTTCAGGACACACAAAAAAAGTTAATGTTGCACAACCATCAAAATTGACAAAAATAAAAACAATTATCAAGTGCTGGCAAGGATGTGAGAAAAATTCTCATAAGCCACTGAAGAGAAGTTATAAATTATTACAACACCTTTGGGGTGCAATCTGGAGACACTAGCAAGGCAGAATATTATATAATCTGTAATCAAGCAATTACAATTTTAGAAATTAGCTTAGACAAAATGTATAGAGAAAGGAAATATACATAAATATGATCAATGAATCATTATTTGAAACTGGAAGAGAGAGAGAGAGCTAACCAAAATGTCTACCAACAGGACAGTAAGTGCATCAGTTGTGGTAAAGTCACAGAATTCTAAACAGCTGCTGAAATCGAGGGATTCCATGTACTCATATCAAGTAGATAAATTTGGGAAAGAAATGAGGAATATGAACAGCAAACAACAGACGGCAAGGGCCAAATGATATACAAATGTCAATAACCCGTAGTACAATATTGCATATTGCCCAGTAAGCAGAAGACATAAGATCTCACACTTCCTCTCTACTGGAGTAGAATAAAAATGATGAGAAAATAAAAGGATATCCAAAAATGTATCACCTTGGAAATAAAAAGATTATAGAAATAATTCCTGGTTTGAGGAAATAACCCACACTAAAAACTACATAGAAATGGTTAACAATATTAGCCCAAAACGTATTTAGAGAAATCAGTGGGTAACTGATGAAAGCCTGGGGTGTCCCCACAGTTATACTACGAAAGTGTTTTGAGTCTATCTTGGGCCTGGGCTTCTGACTGGCTTGTGGTGCTTTCTGACGTAGGGGAACAGGGAAGGAATCGGAACATAGCTCTACCCCCAAACTGTCCCTTAGTAGCAGGCAGGAAACAGAGGAAGACAATAGAATGTTGTAGAATGCGGAGGGATGTAAAACAGTATCAGGGTGGAGGAAACTCAGGAAGAGGACAGAGAAGAGCAACAGGAGCAGTCTTGTTCTGGGAGCTGGTGTGCGCAAGTGCGGGCAATGCCCGAAGCTCCAAAAGGCCACTGCTCTGTGTCCTCGCGTGAGCACAGCCAGACCTGGCCAGGCACAAAGCACGTGCAAGCTCTGGGGGCCATGTCAGAGGAAGTCGTGTGCAAGGTACGGGGCTGGGATGAGAGGAGATTCCGGAGAGCAAGGGGCAAGAACGATCAATCGACTCAGAAGGCCAAGCTCTCAGAAAGAGGGATCAGTCCTAGTACTGCCCCAGGGAGCAGGGGATGAGGCCAGAGTGTCCCAGCTCCTTGGGGACACCAAGGCCCTGTGGAGGGGCCAATATGAAGTCAGGGGAATTTGACTGTTACAGAACCTTCAGCTAGAAATGTTCCTCTTACCTAAATTCAGGTGCTAAATGAACAACAAAGGACGACCCACTACAAACAGTTTCCAGTGGGAGGTAGTTGAGGCCGTTACATCCCTAAGAACACCACCGGGCAGAGTGGGGATGGGGTGGGAAGACATGGCAGAACCCTGGTGCAGAGGCAAATTCCTGGCCCGGCCCCACCCAGACCAGAAAGGAAGCTGTCGTCCTTTCAGCCTCTTTCAGTTTTGGCCACGCCAGGCCACATACTCAGAGTTTGCAGGGCTCTGCCTTTTAGGTCATCCAGAAGATCCACACTCATCACAGAATGGGTGGGAGGGGAAGTGTGGTGTGTATTAACTCATACAAAAGTTGGCTATGAGCCCAGTAATGTTAATAACCAGAAATTACTGAATTCTCTGTTTGTCTGTTATGGAAATAAAAACCTTCAGGGGATGGATCAAACATCTCTGGAAATTACTTGAAAATGGTGGATAGCTAAATACAATGTGCCCTGGACACTGTAACTAGAATGTACTATAATCTAGGTATATTTTTGTCTTTTAAAGATTGGTCTTGGGGAACCCTACCTAGTAAATACTGCAGAAACTGCCTGAAGTAGTTCCAAGAGCTAGCTAGCTATGTCAGTTCTTGAGCGGGAATTCACAGCCATAGCATTTGGCATATGTCATGTGCTGGCACTTTTAATGGTTGTGGGAACACTGAGTCGTGCACCCATAGTCACCCTGTTAAATCCTAACCTTGGGGTCCCTAGGTAGAAAGTCCTGATGATAGGGTTTCCCATGGCATAAATATCTTCACTGTGCCCATTCCAAGCTGCGAATGTGATATCCCTGAGCACAGTTGCTGCTTGTTAATCAGCACAGGCCAGTGCACGGAAACTAGCTGTTCACCCGTGGGCACCACTAAAAACTGTGCTCTGTAGATATGCAAAGGCCCTGGTAAAAGAAAATAGAACATAAATTCAAGGTGGGAGCACAGGGTGGGGGGTTTGAGACAGGGTCTCACTAGTTCAGGCTGGCCTTGAACTCACTATGTAGCTCAAGCTGGCCTTGAAGTTGCAGCAATCCTCCTGCTTCAGCCTCCCAAGTGCTGGGATTAGAGGCATGCACCACTGCACCTGGCTTTAAACCTCCTTTTTAAGCAAACAGGAATGTAAGCATCACACTGAGTATTCTGAGCTCTCGGTTCCTTTGGGATTCCCCTTGACAGAGGCGAGCACTGCTTTCCTTTCATACACTGGTGCTGTGGTGATGCTGACCAAAGAATCACTGGCCCCACACTGGAAGCCATTTTCAGAATGGCTGAGCTGATGGTCAAAACAGAAGAGGTGAAGTCTCCTGAAATTGGGGGCAGAAACACTGAAATTCAGACCTGTGACATACAGTTTTTTTATGCTTATTAACATTAATGAAAAGAAGAAACCTGTTCAAAAGATGAAGAAAGGGTTAGTACTTTTAATGAGAGGAAGACAGAAGCACTTGTTAAAATAGAGGTGAATTGACAGTGTCAGTAAGAATCCTTGGGCGCTTTTCTAAAGGAGGCTTTTCCTGCTCTGACCCCGCAGTGACTGGAGCTGCTGGATACCTTGGCTGTCATCCTGCTAAATTTCAGTCCGAATGCAGGATGAGTTTATCTGTAGCCTTAGTGCGAGTCTCTGATAAAAGGAACCAGTGCCCCTCGAGAGGATGGTTGATTCCGTATTTCAGGGCACGGAAAACAATCAGAGTTAGTCTGTGAATTCCAGGTGTTAGAAGAAAGCAAAGTCGCACTGGGCATCAGAGAATCACAAGCCCATCATGATGCGAAAAAGACGAGAGATTGCACGGAAACACACTCGAGCGTCCGAAAGGCTGCATGTTGATCAACCCAGTGAGGTCTGCGTTAGGTTTCTGTGACTGTTTTCAAACTCAGATTTTATCCTTTCTACAAGGAGAGGAACTGAGAAGCGTACCAGAACCACACAGGGGCACACCAGGAGCTTTCCACGCGTGCAGAGACCTCTGGAAGGTGCTTTCCTTGCTAGAAAAGGAGACAAGCAGACTGGAGAGCTAGGGTTTGGGTGAGGCCGGGACAGCCTGGAAGAACTGCTGGTCTTCTCTCCGAGGCGGGAGTGCGGCGGGCCTTCCTCGGTACTTCCACAGTGCGGTGTGGTCCCACCCGACACGGCCAGCACGGTGCACTGCTCTGGTTCCTCTCGCCGTTCACGGCCGTCTGTCCAACCACGACTCGCACCGCGAGGGGGCTGTGCCTCTTTATTCTGCGCTGTGATTACCAGGCCTCTCTGTGTCTCAAAGAGGAAGAAGAGTGACTGTCTCCCCCACGACGGGCTCCCCCTGCCTCTCTGCAACGGGAGCAAATCTTGTAGAGCTCAGAAAATGCGTCGTGGCCAGCGATGAACTGAAAACACCAAGAGAGCGACGTCAAACAGAAAGGAGTATGCTGGTGAAGGAGAGAATCAAAGTTAGTTTAGAGGGTGAGAGGGTGCCAGGTGTGTGGCCCAGGCCTCTGGAAGGCTGAGGCAAGAGGGACCCCGTGGTCAAGCCCAGCCTGGGCAATTTAGTGAAATCTGGTCTCAAAATAGAAAATAAAAAGAGCACTAGGGATGTATCTCCCTGTGAAGGATCCGGGGTTCAGTCTTCAGTACTGGGGGAAAGGAAAGGGAAAAAGGTAGAGGGGAAATAGGTCGTAACAATGTAAAGTTCATACTTAGAAATCTAAAAAGCTTTTTAAAATTAAGGAGATATAGGAATTAAGTGACAGAACGTAAAATGGTGAGACGTAAGCTTGACCATGACTATCTGAGAAAAAAGATGCTTTCATTAAAAAAGACCAAAAACGACCAAAAGTGCAAAAATCAGGGTGAAGGACTGAGCAATTCAACATCAGTTGACGTCGGTATGAATTAAACGTATGAAAATGCGAATGCTCAGCTTAACACCCCTTATTGGCCGTAATTAGGCCGGACTGCTCGCAGAATCCGGGCCTCGCGCACGTACGGTGGTTACGTAAAGCTGGAAGAAGCGAGCCCACGGGTTCATCAAGCACAGAGCGCAGCGCAGCGCCACGCGGTGCACCGGGCGCAAGCCACGGAGTGCGAGGCGGAGCGGGCTGGGCGGGGAGGCCGGGCGCG